GGTTCCAATGTCCCACACTTCCCAGCCCTTCTCTTCCCTTTAGATTCTCCTCTGCTTTCTTGGCAAGCAAATACAGAACAGGGCCAGCAGGAGGCAAACTACAGCCCACAGGCCATATATAGGGCATCACCAATTTGTTAAAAATGGCACACAAGCTAAGAATGCTTTCTACACTCTTAAGGGTTGGAAAAAAAAAATATGTCACATGTGAAATTATGAAATTTAAGGGTCAAGTCAATCAATAGGTTTTATTGAAACACAGCCATGCTGATCTGTTTGCACATCATCTATGATGCTTTCATGCTACAAGAACAGAGGTGAGAGTTGTAACAAAGCCCACCTGGTCTACAAGCCTATAATATTTAATACCTGATCCTTTACAGAAAAGCTTGCCAACCCCTCCTGCAGGAGAGCACTGGCCCCAGAAACATGTTTCACCCACCATGCTTTCTTCCCTCTGTGATGACAGCAGCTCCTGCAGGAAATTAGCCCTCAACAAATTCCACCTCCCCTGCAATTCCACAGTCTCAGTCACACCTCTGATGAAGTGTGACAACCTGGTCCAAATCAGGCATCCAGAGGAAACATCACCACAGAATGGATAGTGACTCTACAGCCCTCTGAGTAACACTTAGAACAAAGCATGCAGCCTAATAGTGGTTGAATTTGGAATCATATAATTTATCATTTCCCAATAGTTGCTACCACTCCTTCCCAATCCCTGATGATCATATTGTGTAAGTTGTAAGTCTGTGTCATTCACCCAGCTTCAGTGAGACTTGTACTACACATTTCCAACAGACGGAGTGTAGAGAAAAGTCTTCAGGGACGATTCCTAATGTAAAGGAAGATTCAATTAAGATTCAGTTTATATCCAGGTAAAATCATGTCCTCTGAAGTGAACAGAGGAAGAGAGAGGGCAGACCCTAACCTGTGCAAAAACAGAAGTGATCAGTGCAGATCACTGCAGTCATGAGCCTTACTCCTCTTTCAATTCGACAGACATCTATGGGGATCTTTATGTGCCAACCAATGTGCTGTGTCTCCAAACGACACAGGGATTATATAAAGCGTGTTCTCTGTTCTAAGGAGATCATAGCCTGGAAGTGACAAAGGCACACAGACAAATATATACGTGTGTGTATGAAAAGATATGCACCAAATAATTAACGGCAGCTATTTCTGGGCAATAAGAGTACATGCATTTTCATTAACCTTTCTATATTTATCTATATTTTCTAATTTTATTAAATATTAATTACATAGTAACACAATTTTAAAAGACTATGATAGTGTGTGATTAATGTTAAAATTATGAATAAGGGATAAAATTATATATCTCTCTCAAGTAATTCAGGAAAGATTTCCTACAGAATATGAAAGGTAAGATTCAAAAATGAATAGCAGTTTGCCAAGCAGATAACAACAAAAGATATTCCAAAATATACATATTAAATAGTATGATACATCCAGGAATGTTTATGAAGTTAATTACTGGTTGAGCACAAAGAATAGGGAGTAAACAGATGCGGTTACAGAGTGGCCGCAGTCCAGATTATGAAGAACCCTGGATACCAATGCTAGAAAGAGCTTGGATTTCTTTGCAAGGTTAGATACTGGTTGAGTGAAAGTTGCATTTATGAATGGCCACTAAGGTCTCAGATGGTAAAGAATCCACCTGCAATGCAGGAAACCCAGGTTCGATCCCTAGGTCAGCAAGATCCCCTGGAGAAGGGAATGGCAACCAACTCCAGTATCCTTTCCTAGAGAATTCCATGGACAGAGAAGCCTGGTGGGCTACACTGCATGGGGTCACAAAGAGTTGGCACGACTGAGCAGCTTAGCACACAGATACATAAATACACTAAGGTCTCATAAACAGACTTAAGTAAAGAGATAAAAGAGCCTCTGCAGTCATTATCCATTCCAAGAGGTAATAATATCATGGGTGACATCTTGACTGGAATTTTATAGAAGAAAATAAGTTTAAAAAAGACAGTTTGACTAGATGATCTTTGGGGTTCTTTCTAAAGATCAGATTTCATGATTTATCAACATTTGGTCTCTGATGTCCCTGCACACACTCCATTCAACTTCAATTAAAGTTGATAATTCCTTATCAACACATTATGCTTCATACCTTGTTGAACAGCAAAGAGGTCTCTGGCAGGTGGGGTTGGTACTAGCCCAGATTTGGGAACTGCTAACGCAATCTCAGGTGGGTGGGTAAGGAAGTGAGAAGGTGGAGATGGAGGTGGAACTGGACTTGTCTGGGAATGAATTAGGACATCTCAAAGAGAGCAGCTCCTCCCTAAGATAGACCATTATTCCTTCTATAAAAAGGCCACTATCCCCACTAGCAGCACCCTGTAAGCTGCTTCAGCCTCCATCCTACTTGTTCCTCTGGTGAGCCAGGTAAGTGAGGAGCATTTAGGGGTATAAATTATGAGAATCCATGACATGCTCTAAGGCAAACAAGCTCTGGGTACCAGGCTCCTTTTTAATATACATACTTGGGGGAACTTTGGTGTAAATTTAACTTTGTTGAGGAGGAAAGTGAAGACTGAGACGAGTAGTACCTCCTTCTTTGGGGCCATTTCCTTAAAGATCACAAGGCTCAAGTTATCCACCAGGATAGTTGCCTCCTTTGAGATTTTTCTCTTTGGTGTAAAGCTTGAGAGTCATGCTCATCATCCTGTCACACTCAGCTCTGCTACCCCATGGTCTGTAGCCCGCCAGGCTCCTCTGTCCATGGGATTCTCCAGGCAAGAATACTGGAGTAGGTTGCCATTTCTCCCTCCAGGGAATCTTTCTGACCCAGGGATTGCACTCACGTCTCCTGGGTCTCCTGCATTGGCAGGAGGATTCTTTACCACTCACTGGACCACTTGGGAAGCCTGAAGCCTGAGGCTCAGTCCTGCTTAAAGAAGAAAAACAGAAGCTGAGCCTCATAGCAACAGCCCCTAGCTCCATATTGGTTGGCTTTGCCTACTTTGTCTACTTCCTCTGGCCTAGAGTCTTGAGCATCCAAGTGAGTCCTGGTGCCTCTCAGCTAGAGGCAGGCACAAACAAAGATGATGGGGCTGTCCCTCCCTAGAGTGAGGGTTTGGAACTAGAGAGAAACTGAGGAAGTGGACAGACTGGAGCACCTAGGATCCCTATAGCTCCACAACAAAGCTCTTACAATTATCCCTGGTAGAAGCAGGGAGCCAGAAACAGAAAGTGATTGCTGCTGCATTAATTCAGGCATAGAAAGAAGAGACACTGTTCCTAATTACATCACTTTCTTGCTACATGGGTTGAACCAGTCATTCAACTCTGGATTGGTTCTTTATTGTGACAGGATGAATTAATTATGGCTGACTAATGCTGCACAATTATTACAAATGACTCTACTTATCTATTTAAACATGAGAAAAGGATAATAGTAGGTGGATCTCTGTCCTTATTTTCCCTCTAGGTTAATTTGAATTTACAAAAAGATGTCAAAACTTCTACAAAGCATTGTTACTGTCATTGATATTTTCTACCAATATGCCAACCAGGATGGGGAGTGTGACATGTTGAACAAGGCAGAACTGAAAGAACTTTTGGAAAATGAGTTTGGTCAAATTCTGAAGGTAAGAACTCCAAGTCAGGACTGAACACGGCTGCAATTCTTTTCATCACCCCTTCCTACCTTTTTGTCATAGATGTCAAACCCATAGAGGACTTTTCCTACTTAGCACAGGCTTGCAGTAAGATCAAAAGTTGATTCATAATTTTTCCATAACATGTCCAAGGGAAGTGATCCTACTAAACAATACGGGGAAATCCATGGATTAAATAATGTCCTGTGTGAATAATTCTTCTGGAAAGAAACTGAGTTGGTTCTCAGAAAAACTTTAAAATAGATGAAATTTATCTTCTTCCCTTTCTTTGCCTTTCTTCAGATATCCTGACCACTGTCCATTTCTGAGATTCTGGCATAATAATGCTTCTGAGTTCAGGAAATTAGCATGTTACTCCTAAATCATAAAATAAAGTAACTACCACCCTCTAATGTTAGCTAAGGAGTAAATATTTGTAAACTTAGATCTAGCTCTTGATCTTCAATTCATTAAATCAAGCTGTGTACTGAATAGTTTTATTTGGATTCCTATGGAGGTCTTAAATTCGATACCAGATGCAAAACTCATCATCTTCCCCTCTAAACTCCTTATTCCTCTTCAACCAAGGCATAATCTGGTGCCATTCTTGGCTTTCTCTCTCAGCAGGATCCTCCACCCTCCAACCCCCATAAAATTCACCAACAGTCTCTCAACAGCTCATTTCTCTTCATCACTATTACTAGTCTTTTGGTTCAGACCACCTTCTACTTCCAAGCTCAGCATTATATGCAAATCAAATCATTTCACAACTCAATTCAAAATCCTTCACAGTTCCCAGCTCTAAAATCCCAAATTTCCTTAACACAGCTCAAAATGCATGATCTAGTCCTGATTTATCTCTCCAGCCATATCTCTTGACTATTGAGACTCCACATTTAGCAATCCCGAATCTCTCAGTTCCTTGTATGGGCCATGCTTCCTTTCAACTCCAGCTCTCTGTTCATATTGTTCCCTGTCTGCAACAGCCTTTCTCCCCTCCCCTTTCCCCACCTCTTTATTTGACTAATCCAACCTATCAATCAAAAGACATCACTTCCTCTCATTAACCATCCTTGAACCCCCAGTGGTTGTTATTATTCATAAATAAGCTAATCACATTCATTTGACCCATTCCTTAAAAAATAATCCCCTGTTCCTTGTCATACCCAGTTGTATCCCCTTCTAGGTCTTCATTGCATATTACTCTCTCTCTGTCTGCCCAGAATAGGGAAGTCCAGCCTAAAGGACTATGAGACTGAGCTCCACTTAATTAAGCTAAGCACTCACATTTCTACAGTCTTCCTTCAATTGTTTAGCTCAGTGTGTGCTGCACACTCACAGAGCTTCCTTTTGTACTTTGTTCCTATACAGAATCCAGATGATCCAGACACTGTAGATATCATCATGCAAAATCTAGATCAAGACCATAACAAGAAAGTAGAATTTACTGAGTATCTTCTGATGATATTCAAGCTGGCTCAGGCCTGTAATAAAATCGTCAGCAAAGATTACTGCCAAGCTTCAGGGTCAAAGCAAAGAGGTCACAGTCACCAGGACCAAGAGGAACAGAGTGAAACAGAAGAGGATGAAGGGCAAAAATCGTCTTCCAGTAACTTAAGTTGGTGTGAAGGAGAGAATGATTCTCATTCCAGAGGCTCGAGAGGTAGCATTAGACACAGGTTGAGGTCCAGCTCCAGAATAACTGGGCATCAAGGAGGCTTGTCTAGTTCTGGGGACAGGCAAAGCTCTAGGGAAAGAAGGAGGGAGTCAAATTCAGGCCACTCCAAGGGTAGCAAGAAAAACAAGCATGGCTCTCATCAGCACAAAAGGTCTAGAAGTGAAGAAGTTGGTTATACTCATTCAAGCAACCACGGAATAAAATCAAACTCAAGAAACTGGTCAGGCACTTATGGAGAACAAGGGCATGTGACCCACTCAGAGGATCAGTCTTTCAGTTCTGATCAAAACTGGTCTGACTCAAATGAATCTGTGGGTAATAGACAACATAAGAAAAAATCAAGCCAGTCACCTAGTAAGGAGCATCATGGATTCATCTCAGGGAGTTGTGGAGGACAAGGCCACTGGTCAAATTCAAATCAGCCTGCTGGTTATGGTCATGGCTATGGCTCAGGCCAGCCTTCTCAGGAGAGATGGCATGAATCAAATGAAGGATATCAATCAGGAAATTGTGAAGAACAAGGAAACTGTTCTACTTCTAGTTCGAGTGAGGTTTCTAGTTATGGCCAACACAGGTCAGGCTCAGGACACCCGTCTAGCAGTATCCAACATGGGTCTGGATCAGGTCAGTCCTCTTGCTATGGACAACGTAGATCTAGCTCAGGTCAGTCTTCTGGCTTTAGTCACCACGGAACTGGCATAGGTCAATCCTCTAGCTATGAACAGCCTAGTTCTACTTCAAGACAGTCACCGAACTGTAGCCAACATGGACCTAGCTCAGGTCACTCTACTAGCTGTGGTCAATATGGATCTGGGTCAGGTCAGTCATCCAGCTGTGGCCAACACAGTTCTGGATCAAGTCAATCTCTTAATAATGGCCAGCATAGGTCTGAATCAAGTCAGACATCTAGCTATGGCCAACAAAGGACTGGTTCAGGTCAGTCTTCTGGCTTTAGACAACACAGGTCTGGCTCAGGAGAGTCTTCTGGATTTAATCAGCATAGAACTGGCTTAGGTCAATCCTCTAGCTATGAACAACATGGTTCCACCTCAGGACAGTCACAAAGCTGTGGTCAACATGGATCTAACTCCTCTAGCTATGGTCAACATGGCTCAAGCCAGTATTCTGGTCACAGTCAACACAGGTCTGGCTCAAGTCAGTCTTCTGGCCACAGCCAACATGGATCTGGCTCAGGTCAGTCTTCTAGCTTTGGTCAGCATGGTTCTAGCTCTAGAGAGTCATCTGGCTTTGGTCAACATGGATCTGGCTTAGGTCAGTCCTCTAGCTATGGGCAACATGGTTCTACTTCAGGACAGTCATCAAGCTGTGGCCAGCAGGGATCTAACTTAGATCAGTCCTCTACCTATGGGCAACATGGCTCTAGTCAATATGGCTCAAGTCAGTCTTATAGCCGCAGCAAACACAGATCTGGCTCACATCAGTCTTCTGGCCACAGTCGACATGGATCTGGCTCAGGTCAGTCTTCTAGCTTTGGTCAGCATGGTTCCAGCTCAAGAGAGTCATCTGTCTTTCGTCAACATGGATCTGGCTTAGGTCAGTCCTCTAGCTATGGGCAACACGGTTCTACTTCAGGACAGTCATCAGGCTGTGGACAGCAGGGATCTAACTTAGGTCAGTCATCTAGCTATGGTCAACGGGGCTCAAGTCAATATGGCTCAAGTCAGTCTTATAGCCACAGCAGACACAGATCTGGCTCACGTCAGTCTTCTGGCCACAGTCGACATGGATCTGGCTCAGGTCAGTCTTCTAGCTTTGGTCAGCATGGTTCTAGCTCAAGAGGGTCATCTGGCTTTGGTCAGCATGGCTCTGGCTTAGGTCAAACCTCTAGCTTTGGGCAACATGGTTTTACTTCAGGAAAGTCATCAGGCTGTGGCCAGCAGGGATCTAACTTAGGTCAGTCCTCCAACCACGGTCAATGTGGCTCAAGTCAATATAGCTCCAGTCAGTACAGTCAGTATTCTGGTCACAGCCGACACAGGTCTGGCTCAAGTCAGTCTTCTGGCCATAGCCAACATGGATCTGGCTCAGGTCAGTCTTCTAGCTTTGGTCAGCATGGTTCTAGCTCAAGAGAGTCATCTGGCTTTGGTCAGCATGGCTCTGGTTTAGGTCAGTCCTCTAGCTATGGGCAACATGGTTCTACTTCAGGACAGTCATCAAGCTGTGGCCAGCAGGGATCTAACTTAGGTCAGTCCTCCAGCTATGGCCAACATGGTTCAAGTCAATATGGCTCAGGTCAATCTTACAGCCACAGAAGACACAGATCTGGCTCAAGTCAGTCTTCTGGCCATAGCCAACATGGATCTGGCTCAGGTCAGTCTTCTAGTTTTGGTCAGCATGGTTCTAGCTCTAGAGAGTCATCTGGCTTTGGTCAGCATGGCTCTGGTTTAGGTCAGTCCTCTAGCTATGGGCAACATGGTTCTACTTCAGGACAGTCATCAGGCTGTGGCCAGCAGGGATCTAACTTAGGTCAGTCCTCCAGCTATGGCCAACATGGTTCAAGTCAATATGGCTCAGGTCAATCTTATAGCCACAGAAGACACAGATCTGGCTCAAGTCAGTCTTCTGGCCACAGCCAACATGGATCTGGCTCAGGTCAGTCTTCTAGCTTTGGTCAGCATGGTTCTAGCTCTAGAGAGTCATCTGGCTTTGGTCAGCATGGCTCTGGTTTAGGTCAATCATCTAGCTATGGACAGCATGGTTCTACTTCAGGACAGTCATCAAGCTGCAGCCAACAGGGATCTAACTTAGGTCAGTCTTCCAGCTATGGTCAACGTGGCTCAAGTCAATATGGTTCAAGTCAGTCTTCTGGCCACAGCCAACATGGATCTGGCTCAGGTCAGTCTTCTAGTTTTGGTCAGCATGGTTCTAGCTCAAGACAGTCATCTGGCTTTGGTCAACATGAATCTGGCTTAGGTCAGTCCTCTACATATAGACACCATGGGTCTACCTCAGGACAATCATCAAGCTGTGGTGGATCTGGATCAGGTCAGTCTTCCAGTTATGGTCAACAGATATCTGGATCAGGTCAGTCTTCTAGCTATGGCCAATGTGGGTCTGGATTAGGTCAATCTTCTCACTGTAGTCAACAGAGGTCTGGATTAGGACAGTCTTCTGGCCATGTCCAGTGTGGCACTGGCTCAAGTCAGTCCTCTAGCCACAGACAATTTGGGTCTGGATGGAGTCAGTCTTCTAGCTACAGTCAACACAGATCTGGCTCAGGTCAATGTTCTACCCAGAGTCAACATGGATCGGGCTTGGGTCAGTGTTCTACTTCTGAACAACCTGGGCCTGGCTCATGTCACTCATCTAGCTCTGGACAATGTGGTTCTGGATCTGGTCAGTGTTCTAGCTATGAGCAATATGAATTACAAGGGAGATGTAGGTCAAGTTCAAGTGGAACTCATGGTGGGTATAGTAGACCCCAAATAGGCTCAACTCCCAATCAATCAAGAAGAAACAGCCAAGAATGGTCAAGGTACAGTCAAAAAGAAAGAAGTAGGAGTTGTAGCCCAACAAGTAGCAAGTCTGATGGATATGAGAGTATTTGTGGACAATCAGAAACGTGTAGGCAACAAAGTCAAGGATGCAGCCAGGGTCAAACGGAATCTGGCTACAGCTATTCAAACTGTAATGAAGGGCAACCAGGAGGTAGTTATAGACAAGAGGAAAGCTCCTCAAGTTGTGGCTTTAGACAGTTTATACCATCCTATGGAGAATCTAGATCTAACAGTAGCAATACATTGTTAATATGCAAGGAGGATAATAGACAAGGTGGCAAATATTACCAGAGAGAAGGAGGTCACTATGGAGGGAGAGACACAAACTCAAGTTTCTACAAGTTACGAAGCAGCACTCCACTCTATGAGTATGTCCAAGAGCAGAGGTGCTAATTCAAGTGATGAATAGTAAATAGAAGTGAAGCTAACTCAAGTAGTATTTTAAAAAATATGAAACTTAACATACAAGCAATTCATTACAAAACTTCTTTCTAAAAGTAGATATATCTATTTCTGTCTTTTCCTTTTAAACATGTAACTGTACTTAATTCCTTGTTATTGTGTTCCTTCCAAAGAATGCAGGGTATGGGGACTACTTTGCTAGGAAATACAGAGTTGAATAAATGATGTATGAAAATAAATTCAGAAGAATAGTGCAAAACATTTAAGGAGCTTGGGGTTTAGTTGAGGTGTCTTTTTGATAGCTCCTTACTCATCATATGATGCCAAAACTAATCTTTCATCTCTAAAGAGCAAAAAATAATAAATGTGTTACCAGTTCTGGAGCCAAAGCTTCTCTTATAGCAACATGGACCATAATTTTCTGTATGCTCCACAATGGGTGGTGGCAGAAAAGACCCTAAAAGCAAATATGTAGCATTGATAACATCTTTGCTTATCAAAACCACCAAGCTCCTTTTCTTAGCTGCATTTTTAATGAATAAACTAACAAGAGGCATTAAAAATTGGCCCCAGATGCTTCTCCCTAACCTGTGAGTGAGAGCATTTTTTCCCTAAAGGGCAGGGATGAAGGATTGAAGGAAGTAAATATTAGCTCTGACTTGGTTTCAGCAAGAAAGATTTTGACCCCTACTACTACGAATTTTCTCCAGGTTAAAAAAAAATTAGAAGAATAAGAGCATGAAAACACAATGGCTCCAAACTACCTCTGTAGTTCAGTGGCCTTCCTCAGAGGAAAATATCATTTATACAGCAATGGAACAAAATACTGTCAGCCACTACTTTACAGTTTCTTAGTTTGACTGTAGCATATTTGTTTCAAGTCTCTGGATTCAAATAACTGACTGCCTTAAAACTGACAATAAATAATGATGATGAAATACTGAGGTTTGTCTCATCTCTGCTTCAGTTCATTCTCACACACAGGTGGCATACTAGAAACTAACTTAAATAGTCATTGTCCAAGACCCTGTCCTTCACAAATAACCCAGAAATATTACAAATATTTTTTAATTCAAAAACAAGACAAACGACTCAGTTTTAAAATGAACAAAAGATCTGATTCGACACTTACCAAACAAAATGACCAATAAGCACCTGAAATTATGCTCAATGTACTTAGTCATCAGAGAAATGAAAATTAAAACATAATAAGATACTACCACACAAACACTAGAATGGCCAAAATTTAAAATGTGGGCAATACCAAGATCTGGTATTACTGGTGAAAAGTAAAATGACATATTCACTTTGAAAAATAGTATGGCAATTTCTTCAATTCAGTTCAGTCACTCAGTCATGTCCGACTCTTTGTGACCCCATGGACTGCAGCATGCCAAGCCTCCCTGTCCATCGCCAACTCCCAGAGTTTACTCA